GGTGCACCCGCTGCCGAGCGAGGTGGGCGCTGCGTCCCGCGTGGCCCCGCGCTGCCCGGGGCTGCAGGGCGCTTTCCAGGATCGCCAGCCCGCAGCCCTGCCGTGGGAACCTGCCGCGCGGCCCAGCAACCCCGGCCTCGAGGCTTTTGACACTTCCTTCCATTCTGCGCTCGGGTTTCCGGAGTTTATCGGCCCCGAACAATGCAATCCTTGCGAACCGCCTTCCCCCTCCAGATAGGGCCCTGGCAAGCAAGCACACACGGGGCGACGCGCAGCCTGAGACCGTTTCCGGCTATTGTCGGAGCGGCTCCGCTCGCTCTCGGGGACAAAAGGCAGGCAGCAGGCTAACCTTAGCCCGAGAAGTCCCAGCGCTCCCAACCACAATGGGCTCTTAAAACAACAAGCGCCAAATCCCGGCAGCAGGGAAGGAGGGGAGCGGAGAGGCACAAGGCACGTCAGGCATGCCAGGGTTAACCCCAAAAGCTATCCGGGGGGGAAAAGAAAGCACCTTGATGGACATGGTGGCCCTGCCGCCAAGGCCACTGGGTGCTGTAGTCCTGCAGGTATCTCCCGTGCCTGGCGGTGAGTTGGCGCTGCCGCCAGAGGGGATCCCTAGGGCAAGCGTACGTCGGGGCCCTGCCTGCTCCAGAAACCTTGGAGGGTTTCACTGACAATAATAGAGCGCGCTGCTCCGAAAGTCCCTCCAAAAGTCCCTCCGGAGCCGGGGCTGGGGCATGCCAGCGGACACACACGTGGTGGGGCCCAGGCGTCCCCACACCGTCCCTGCCACCCTGCGCGGCGCGCCATGCCCGGCCGTGGCGTGCCTCCAGGCTCGGACGTGCGCGCAGCCCCTTCGCCCTCCGCGGCGCTGCCGGGGAGCCAAGTGTCACGCTCCCGGGGATGGCAGAGCATCGCCATCGTCCCACAGCCCCCACGTGGCCACCGCTAGGGAGCAAGGTGCAAAGGGAGCAGCTGTGCCAGCGTCCTTTGGAGCAGGGTTTCTGCCCATCCAGGAGACCCTGAGCGGAGAATACGTCCCACGCGGTATCACCACGGACAGTGAGCGTGCAAAGCAGCTTGACGGGCCAGGGAGAAACGCCAGCGCTCGGGCTCCAGGCCAAGCTTTATAAAGCACGAGATAAGCCAGCTGCCCGCGCGGGACGTGCGCGCGAGCCGCAGCTCAGCTGCTGCCGTTGCAGGGAC